TGTCCTTTGAAATCCCACAAACTTCATAGTGAAGTAACAGGGTTCGTACCATCTGCCAGAATTGTTCGTCTTTCCCATCAAAAAAGGAGCCACGAAATGCTCGATTAGGAAGAATTCTCGGAATCTTCGCAAAACTTCACTACATATAATGATCATAATAGGCATAAGAACAATTGAGGTGGAATTTATTGTTTACAAGTTGCAAATCAAACAGTTGATTTTTCGGGGGAAATTGTAATAAAACCGACACTTCGGGAAGTTTAAGAGGTAGCTGCTGACCGACGCCAAGGTGTAACAGTATTTGCGGCTAATCCTTGTTGCGCGCCATTTTCAAAGTGCACTGCGTTCTTTATAACGCAGGTTTCGGAGTTTGCGCAATTTTGTGATGCAGTAGTCCGGGTTGCGGGCCCTGGCTAGAATGTTAGCTATGACGCAACATGATCTTTCCCATACGCACTCCCTGTCCTGTGGCTATGCCGAGGAAGCATTACTCACTTGTCGTATGTTTGGCAGATGTTTCCGCCGTCCGGTTTCCCCTCATCTAATTGTTAGCCCTTCCCTCCAATTTCATGTGCGTACTACTGTACCACAAACCGCATAGAATACAAGGACTGCCCGGTAAATTCCTTGTTGAGTTCCGTACTTAAAGTACCGCTACGGAATATTGGGCTCATAGAGTACATCCTCATCTAAATTTCATTCTCAGACTTCACCGTTATTGTGGTGAACTAGAGTTCAACGAATGGAGGAGAAACCTCAGTATAAGTGTCGCTCGTATATAGTTAGACTGATGAAAAATATGGAGCAAAGGAATTGGAATCCAAGTAATTCGAAGGGTTGAATGCATTGTGGTGAGTGGTCTTGCTAACTAGGAGGCTAGCTTTATATAACCAGACCTGACTCTGTTTCATTCCCTATCGCTCCAGTAGAAGGCAAATAACGTTTGTTCATGAACCAATTGCATCAATGCCAGTGTCAACAATGCCTGCTCATTCGCTTTTCACTCACACATAACCAATTGTTTCGAACTCTCGGGAACATATATAGAAATCATTGTTTTCACAGAATGCCAGCAGGAACGATGCCATGCGAGCGGAGCGACACGGAACTGGAAGTAGAGGAAAAAAGGACAATGACAGCGAAAAATAACTGTTCGAAGATGAGTTGCCGTTTTGGGAATCGGATAATCGGTATATAAGGCTTCTAGCAGTATACTAGCATCCAGATGACTGTGACGACAGTCAACATCCAACAATGTGGTTCTACTACTTCATCTGCCTACCTATGATGCTCAACTTCCATGATGGACGCCAGCACTAGTAAGTTGATAATGGTGCAGCTACTGTTCTATCTTATGGGTAACATGAATGAATTTCAGGGATTTTACTCAGATGATCCAAATGTTAATTGGAGCTAGTGCTGGATGGTGGGCACTTGGAGAAGCTTGGGAGAACAACAAAATTCTTGCCGACAACGGATGATTCGTGGGTCTGCATTTGGTTAGAAGATGAAGCCGAAAGAACCTATTTTGTGAATTCTAACGTAACATAGAATCATTGTAATCCATCTGTCTGATGCAAGATCAATAAATATTTTCCATTTCCAGAGCCACTCACTAATATCATTGAAAACAGCAGTAAGAAGATAATCTTTCGATCGGTAACAACGAATAGCCCGAGCCATGCGATGAATTGTAAACAAAATTCATCTTTATTGCAAAGTATCATAATTTTCTATTTAGTTCTATTTACATGGAAATTTCTCGATGTGGAATATCGACTACGTCAACAGAATTCGCTGGCGCTCTTCTAACGACATCGTGCCGAGTCGAAAATTTTCGAACGCCTAATTTTTTTCTCAATTGGGACCGGTCAAACATGGAAACAGCAGTGCATCACTGGGTAGTACATTCTCGTACTCATTTATCATTCGTCACCATCGTGGAGATAGTTGATGCCATAGAGCAAAGGGGGTTTCAGGATGATCAATTACTTCTTTCCAATGACGGGCACCCGTTTCACTTCCTAACGGACCAATGATGGTATGACCAATTTCGTCGTTACTGGATAATAAATCATAATCCATTACCTGAAACAAAATTTTAAGGAAGTTGAAAATTTTAAAAGAGCAAGGAGNAGGAGTACACCTACCGTAACTACAAGATTCACATCCTTCTCGAGAACGTCCTTTGATGGAACGGTGAAAGCAAATGATTCGTTAAATAATGGGGCCAATGTTTGTGGTTTCACCGAAGTTTTTCTTTTTTCAAGTTTATTTCCTTGTTGTACCAACCACAGCTTTACATATGGATCTGAAATGATTTATACGTACCGAAGTATGGAATCAATGAGGAACTTATGCAAGCGTTTTGTACGCCTTTCACTGGGTGAATTGGGTGGATGGTCGGAACATCTCATCGGGCATTGTACTTTTGAGCAAAAACAGTAATAATAAAGGAATTGGAAGAATATCAAGCGAAAATTTACCCCTATAAATGAGAGCGGGGATTCACTAAGCTATTCTGTTGGTGGATTTCTTAGCTGGTCACTCTAAAGTAAGCCATTCTTCATTAGTCGACCCAGGAGGGAGGAACAACTTCCCAGGTGAGGGCAAAGGAAACCTACCAATAAGGTGAATGCAATGGCCCAGGTTACCCCGCCTACTTCGGTTGAGCTATCCACAGAGCGCAAGCCACCGCACTCAGAGATTTCCCATAAATTCGAAGTGCACAGGATGGGCGTGGGTGTGCCTCGATCCATATTTAGGTTTCAGTGGAAGCGGTGGTGACGCTGCTTACCAGCAGCTCAGCTGGCAGATGTCATATTGCAAACAGATTTTGAATACCCCGCTTTCATTAATCATTTAAATGTGTTTGGACCATTCGTTATTTTCATTTTGAGCTCTCAGATTGGATATTAAAAACGAAATTTCAAATTTATTGTCTATAAAAATATTTAAGACAAGGAAAACTCACCAGAGCTTCCCATCTTGTCTTTGGCCTTGAGATCTCTAGCTTTTATCACACTGACAGTGATTTTGTTCAATTCAGGGAGGTAACACAATGATAACATTAATTCACCGCATAGTTCCTGGAAAACATATTTCTTGCCTAAGTTGCAATGAAAAAAAGCTTGTGATAAGAATTAAAAAGGTTTCGATAGAAATAACTCACTCTGGATACTGTAGGGCGTTGTAAATGTTTCCAATATACCGGGCTATTTTCGAATTTAACATTTTTCATCGGCAATAAAATTTCTCCGATAGGGTCGTCTGATGAGAAGCGGTCATAGTCCATTACCTGAAATGATTCTGTTAGAATAAGAAGCGGAGTTCATCGCATTGATATCGTTGCCAGAAAGTCGATTCGGGTTGGACAACAATCGCATACCAGTTGTGGCAAAGTGAAGTAACAGATAAGGCTGAATAGGCAATACTTGGACCTAATATTTTTCAACTTTAGCTAACTTAATCTTCGCCCTTCCAAGCTTTGAAGAGATCGAAAGAGCCGAAACGTCAGCCGAATGAATACTTTCCAAAAAAAACCCGGTACCACATCTTGAGAGGTAAAAGATAGGGCCGTATTTTAACGATAACTAGAGCTGTTAGTGGTGGTAAGGTCCTGTTTGCAGATCTTGACAGCATTCCTGTCTGCACCCTCCCCGGGCCAGTCAATACCTCCTTTTCTCTCGTAAGGACTGATCAAATAGTGGCATTGGGAAGCACTGGGAACACCTACGTAGTTCCACTTTTAGCCAGGCCTTTTCAAGCTCATTCAGAGGAGAATTGGTATCCTATCACAATTTTGCAGCGCAAGTCGAACACATGGTCTATCTCAATGAATGGCTATTGAGCTCTGATCGCTTGGTCTTCTTCATTACGGGTAG